ATATAAAATACATATACAATTTAAATCATTTAAGACCTGTATAAATCATTCATTCAACATCCATCTTAAATATTTTATATAAAATACTTCATATCTATGTGTAAGATGAAAGTGACTACACATTCACTTGATTTAACGATAATCGGGCAACACTTCGTTTCTTAAAATGATCGTTTCTGATGAAACCGGAAGCTTTAATGAAAAACCGGGCCTTGCGGGGGGTAAGCTTCAAACCGAAAAGATACATTTCTCGGGGTCTGTTGGGTCTAAAATATTGGTTTATACTTCACTTTTCTAGGAAAATATATTTTTCAGTTTAGGACCGTAAACAACTTGGTGTTTACGGCTGTATGTATGTTTACGGTTGTATTTACGGCCGTGAACTCATTTACAGCCGTGAACCCATTTACGATCCATGTTCCCCAAGTATATATATAGGTGTTAGGTGGGTGAGGAGTGGTTAATGAACAACAGAGAAAGAGAAAGGAGCATAAGTATAAGTGTGTGTATGTGTGTGAATCTTGTGTAAGGAACTTCATTCTAATCAAATCATGCAAGATTCATATTATTCTTCTTCTTTTTCTCTTCTATTTTTGATCTGACATCATCCGCTTGATTGAGATTCCGCACCATCAAACGGATCTGATTGATATAGGCAGATTTGAGACTTACAAGTGGTATCAGAACTTGATTTGTATCAGTCAATTTTTCCAGATATAGAGCATATTTGATCTTATTTTTGAAAGATTTTTGCATTTTTGGATAAATCTCTGAAAAATATGATGAGGCGGGGGGGGGGGGGGGGGGGGTTGTTCTTTGCATTTTTCCTAAAAACGAGTTTTGGAACAAAAAAGGGAAAAATCGTTGTTTTTTTCGTATATGATGCTGGTTTACGGCCCGGAAGAAGGGTTCATGGTTGTAATCAGTTTACGGCCAATGGACATTTACGACCCGAACTTCACGGCCCAACAGTGTGTTCGGCCCATATAAAAAAAAAGATGGGGATTTTCGGGGTGCCTAGATTTGAACCCGAGTCCCATCCATCATCCTTCCCTCCGCCTTACCAGCTCATCTAGCTTAATAGATGATTCAATCTTCCTGAATTTAATTCAGAACAACTCCCATTCGAACCAAATTTCACATTTTTAACAAATTTTGCCCCAAAATCAATTTCTTTTATTTTTAATTTAATTTTCAACCCAAAAATTTTAGCTTTTAATTTTTGAATTTCTAAATTGACCTTTGATCTCAAATTTTGACTGACTTTTCAAGTTTGACCATTGACTTTAAACTTTGATTTTCTCGTTTAACTTTCAAATTTTCAAATTTAGCTTTTCGGTTTGACTTTTAAGGTGTTCACCGTCGACAAAAATGCCACATAAGCTTCGTGATCAGTAAAAAGCCCCCCCCCCCCCCCCCACACACACACACACACACACATATATATATATATATATATATATATATATATATATATATATATATACACACACACACAATTTAATCTAGCAGTAAAAAACTATGATTAAATAATACTACATCCGTTCCAAAATGATAGTCAACTTTTGACTTTTCAAGTCTTTTTTCTTTAACTTTGATCTTAAATAATTTTGTTTTTGATAGATAACATTTAATGCAAAATATATGAATGAATTGTATTTTAAATGTTTTTTCATTGTTCTAAGTTTTATCAAGTAATATATAACACAATCAAAGGGCTTCTAGCCCAGCGATATCCGGTGTTCCTCTCCCTCATTGAGGTTGAGGGTTCAAGTCCCGTTGTGGACATAGGTGGATTTAAGGTGTAGTTTAGGAGTAGGTTAGATTTGCCGTTTCAAAAAAAAAAAGTAATATATAACACAAATAAAAATATTTAAGATCAAAGTTGAAGAAAAAAGACTTGAAAAATCAAAAGTGGATTATTAATTTGGAACAGAGGGAGTATAAAAAAATAAACTGATAAACGATCAAAACTTAAAAAGTAAATAAATGAATAATAATAATAAACAGTAGCATAATTTTAAGTGATTTAGATAAAAAAAAATTAAAAATTAAAAATAATTTTAAAATCAATTTTTATTAAATTTAATTTTTACTTTTTTTAATTTTGTCACTAAAGTTTCAACAAACTTTTATTTTTTTTATAATTTTGCCACTTTATTTTTACTTTTTCATATTTTTGCCATTAACTTTCACTTTTACTTCTTTAAAACCATTTTTCTTTATTCTTTTATAAATTCACCACTTTATTTTTTACTTTTTTATAATTTTACCACTAAAGTTTCAGCAAACTTTTCCTTTTTATAGTTTTGGTACTTTATTTTTACTAATTTTGCCACTTAAGTTTCAACAAACTTTTCTGCTTTATAATTTTGACATTTTATTTTTACTTCTTTATATTTTTGCCACTAAACTTTCACCCGTGCAACGCACGAGCCTTTTCCTTGTTATTATATATATATATATATATATATATATATATATATATATATATATATATATATATATATATATATATAGGATAAATTACACGAATGGTCCCTATGGTTTAGGGTAATTTGCACGTTTGGTCCTTAACTTATTTTTTTTAACTCGGAAGGTCCCTACTGTTTGATTTTGTTACACGCTTGGTCCATATCTTACCTAAAAAGACTATTTTGCCATTGATTTTTTAATTTATTTAAATAAACACACTCCCAACCCCACTCCACTCACCTTACCCTACCTATCCCATCATCTTTCCCTAATCAAATAATAGTCTTTTTTGGTAAGACAAGGATCAAGCGCGTAACAAAAACAAATAGAAGGGAACAAACACGTAACAAAAACAAACAATAAGGACCTTCCGAGTTAAAAAAGTAAGTTAGGGACCAGACGTGTAAATTACCCCAACCCATAGGGACCATTCGTGTAATTTACTCATATATTATATATATTATATATATATATATATATATATATATATATATATATATATATATATATATAAGTTAGGAATACTAAACTTTCTAAGTGTTTGGCAAGATTGGTCTCTAAGGTTATGTATGTTTGCTCTTTTTTTTTTTTTTTCAATTTTGATCCTTCAACTTATGTTGGTTTTAAAAAACTACTGACCCTTCACCTTTATGCTTTTGTTCACAAACAACCCTTTTACTTTCGTTTGAATTTTTCATAACCTTCGTCTTTTATTACATATTATTAATATTTAGTCTTTTGTCAGAAATGATGTATTATTATTATTATTATTATTATTATTGTTATTATTATTGTTAGACAAAATTACACGATTGGTCCCTGTGGTTTACCAGATTTAACACACTGAGGACAACGATGGAAACCGAAGTCACTCTTTTACTCCTAATACAACTTTTTATTAATTTATATTTCTCTTTTTGGTTTTAAATTAATGTTTTATTTATTATCAAATACTCACACAATACCATAAAGCCACCCATCACCACCACCGCCACCACCGCCAAAATTACATAAATGGTCAATATGGTTTACCCGTCATCACAAATTTAGTCTATAATACCTTAAAAGAGCAAATTACCCTTACATTAACGGACAAAAAACAACGGTCTATATTTTTCGGATTGGTTTTCCGGCGTTACCATAAATGACGATAAAGTTAAATTTGTGAGACATTTTCTTTATTTTCCTCATTTATTGCAACAAATAATGATTTAGATTTCTTTACTTATGTAATTCAATGTAATTCAAAATGATACTTTAATTTTCAAACCAATACCTTCTAACCCCGGCAACGCTGGATAATCTTTTGTAGTTATTATTATTATTATTATTATTATTATTATTATTATTATTTTTTTAAGGATAACCCCTAAATTATTACTTACAAATGCATGTGACCCAATTAGTCAAACACCACCAATATTACATTTATAGTCCTTTTGGTTATACCTTATTTTAAATATAAATCTTTTTTTTTCTTGAGAATTTATTTGATTTCGATTAGGTATAAAATATATCAACGAAGGTGATTTGTAGAAGATTAATACTTTTATAACCATCTCTAACCGGTTTATTAACGGGTTTTTGATCTTATTAATTCAAATTTTATTTATTTATTTATTTATTTATTTATTTTTTTTTTTATCAAAGATAGTGTTTTTGTGGATGAATTTTATTTCAAGTATTTTAATTTAAAATTTAAACTCAATCATTACATTATTATATTATTATATTATGTAAAAACACAATTTATCTATTATAATTGAGAATTTTTTTTTTTTTTATATGTAGTAAAACCATTACATTTTCAGTTGTCGTTTAGATTTACTTAAATATGTTTAATTTTTTTTAAAATTACCTATTGTTTTGTAACATGACATTTATTTTGTTTGTTTTTACGTTGATAAGAGTCTGATAGACATGATACAATTAGTTAGACATAAATATTATAAAAACAATTACTTTTAGAAAAAAAAAATCATAATAGATATTTTCTATCAGATAAAAAAATACCATAAGATTAATGTAAGATATCAATTTGTTAGACTTAATGTTATATAACACAAAACAATTATTTTTAGAAGAAAAAAAAATATATTTCATAAATCATAATAGATATTATTTGTCAGACAAATATAAGATTAATGTAAAATAACAAAACTTGTTAAATAGAAACAATATAAAAACGATTATTTTTAGAAGAAAGAACTCCATTTTCATAACATATATTATCTGTTAGAAAAAAATTATCATAAGATTAATGTATGAATACAATCTGTTAGACAAAAAATAAATAAATAAATAAATAAATAAAAAAAAAACTAAGCGACTGTTTGTTTTTTTTGCTGTAGATATGTGAAATCACTTTTGTCTGGCCACACACAAACATACATCCTCGTAGTGTGTTTGTTTTTTTTGAAATGCGCAGATCTAAAAACTTCTGCGCGAGATCTTCACCACACAGACATGGACTACCAACTTATAAGGTCTGCAAAATACTTTTAACCTTAAAAAACACGCTTCTATTATATTATCGGCGTATCCATCTTCTTTCGACTTCCCCCCTCGACGCCGCCTAGCCTCGTTCCAGCAACGAAACGCCGTTCTTTTTCACTGATCTGAACCGTTGCCCACCACCGCAGACCTCGACCCTTGGCCGCCGCCACCTTCTTCTCCAATCTCCACTGAAGACGAACAGGTTTGCACATCCTGTTTCATTTTTTTCCACTTCTGACTTAAAATTATTTCTTAATCTTGCTGGAAAACGATCTAATGTAGTGAAATTCGTTGTTTATTTATGCTGAAAATTGCTTCTTGTTGGCTAAATTTCTTGTTGGATGTTAGTAATCCGAAAATTATGTTGAAATTGCTTCTTGTTGCTTAAAATTCTTGTGAAATATTTGCTGAAAATGCGTTTCCTTGATGTATTTTGCTGAAACTTCCATAACATTGCTGAAAACCAAACCTTTTCTTGGTGAAAGTATTAAAATAGTACTGGAAATATGAAAATTACATAATGTTGCTGAAAATAGTCATTATATGTTGAAAATCAAACTTTTTCTTGATGAAAATATGAAAATAATGCTGAAAATATGAAAATATTGTTGGAAATTGCATAATGTTGCTGAAAATAGTTTGTGTAAAATAGTCATTGTATTCTAATTATTTTGTTGAAATGTGTGTGTGATATGCATGATATCAAATTAATTTTTGCTACAATACCTAATGAAATCAAATTTGTGTATGCATGAATCTTTTTAATGTTGTACGATTATTATTATTAAAATTTTGGTGTTGAAAAATAATTTTAAGTTAGTTAAATCAATTTATTTAAAATTCAGTTTATTTAGCAGTCTACAGATTTTAAAAAATAAACAGACTTCTTATTGCAGACTGTAAATGTTTGGTGCATCTCTTCTGCTGCAGAGGCTTGCAGATGTGGTCTGCAGACTGCATATATTTTAGATTCATAAAAACAAATATCATTTAAGATAATAAACTAATATTTAAAATATATATATTTCTAAGAAAATCCTTATATTTTGCATGTATTTACAAAAAAATCCTTACATTATGTTGGAGACCGACTATTTACCGGTAAAAAGGGTCAAAATCAATATAATTGATGTTTTTGGAACTTAATCGATAAAAAAAATGATTAAATCGATTATGAGATCTAAACATAACAACTTTTCAATAGATTTCTCTTTTCTTAAAAAACCCGGATAGTTGAGTTAATGTGAAAGATAATTGAACATGTAAAAGTGTTTTTAGATATAAACAAAATGTAAGTGTTTATCTAAATGCTCATAGATAAATGGTTTTCTTTTCCTGCATTTTGCCCTTACAATTTTAAATATAAAAAAATATCAGATTTATATTTTGTATACGATCCGATGTGCTACGAAACTAGTTTTGATTGATTTATTTTTCGGTTTCATCATGAAAAAATTCTTTATATAAACCGGTTTATAGCCCCATTTAAGAGTCATTTTGTATATTTATTGAATAATACAAATAAATATAAGTAAATAATTAAAAAAAATGTATCGTGATAGATATCAACTATATAATAACAAAATTTACATTAAAACGTTCGAAAAAATAAAATAATGATGACACTTGCATATAAATGTAAAGCATTATCTATCAAAAGCTAAGAGAGAATTCAAATGAGTATATTAATATAACAAAGGTCTAAATTAAACTTGAGAATTTGTATACGTATCTTCTAAAGTGCCCAATTCTCAGTGAAATAATATTTATACACACCATAATTTGACGATTTATATAAATGATAGAGGTAACTTTTTTTTTGAACTGCCAAAAATAGGAGGCATATATATTAAAAAAAACATGTTAAACAACCTAGTAAGGAGCTAGGAGATACAACAAGTAAAAGAAATAAGCGGAAAAAGATAGCTACAACCCTATAAAAGGGTTAGTACACCAATTCGCCCAACTAATCGCCTCTGTCTTCCCCCTGTATTTGACCCACGTATACATTGTAGATATGATTATATCCGCCACTTTTGTTGGTTGCATCCTCTTGTTGTTGAATAATCTGTCATTTCTTGCCTTCCAAATACTCCATAAGTATCCATAACAAATCCCCAATAATGTTCGCTTTTTTTTTCGGGCAATTGCCCCAATTTGACGCATAATCTATAACATCATGTACTGTCGCAAGGTCTGTAAGGGTACCTGACACCATATTAAGATCCATTTCATGACAGATTTAGCAAATGTGCATTCAACCAATACATGATCCGCCGTCTCCTCCTTTTCGCCGCACTGAGAACAAATTGTTGAGTTTACTGTTATACCCCTATTGGAGATGGCCATCGATGCTGGTATACGCCCCTGTTTAGCTCTCCATACGAATGTTGTGACTTTGATGGGTACTTCTTTTGACCATTCGAACCTCCTAATGTCAATCGGGTCAGATTTGTCGAGTCTATTCCTCATAGCATTTACCTTGTAGTCACCATCTTGAGTTAATGGGCATGTCCATGTGTGACCATCCGAAGTGGATTTTTTTTCCAACACCATATCAACCGATATCCCTAATTTACTCAGTTCTTTTTGCGAGCAAGCTATGTTGTTCCACACTCCCGCCAACATTTTTAGAGAAAATACGTGATCCGGTTTACCTTGTAGTTTATGCATACTTGTGATTGCTTTGGCCCAAATAGAACCTGGATCCTTTCTAAACCTCCACCACCATTTGACTATCAAGGCTATGTTGAACCCATTTAATGATCCTACGCCAAGCCCATTTGTTTCTTTGCTTGCAATTACCTTATCCCATGATACCCAATGTATCTTCGCGTGATCCACCGAGCCTCCCCATAAAAATCTACGTCTGATAGAGGTAACTATACTAGCACCCTTAAACTTTTTGATGAATAAAAGTAATAACTGAAAGTTCTATTTAATTCCAAGGAGTGTAGAAAAATAGTTGCCTACTCCTATTGACACTCCAAAATCGCGTGATTGACTTGGTCTTTGTAAAGCATGAAGACTTGACTTTGTTTTCTTTTTCCGTCCGCAGAATTCATCGCTGGAGTCTTTGTTGCTGGTCTTTGCCCTTAGTGGATGCTTTGAATTTGTTTCATAGTTTCATTCTCAATCTTTATTTCTTGTATTATTCTGTTTAATATACTTTGTTTTGGTCCATTTTTCCGTTGATATTTTTTTAAATATAATTTGTGTTGTTATAAAAATAATCAAAAAAATAAAAGAAAACTTAACTTTTTAATCCAATTTATATTTCTTATTTAACTATTTATCAATTTACTATTTATATTATTATTATATTCTTATCTCATATAACTACTACATTTTACTTTTATTCCACATACATATAAATTTTTATCTTAACTAAACAAATTGTAGGTTGCAAAAAAAGTTGTGAACACAATGTAAATTTTCAATAATAAATATAGTTTTTACTTCGCTTTTAGATTTATAACCAAAATAGTAAAACCGTTATCTTACTTTAAAAAGTATCACAATATAACAAACAAATATTTTCATTTTATTTTGAAGTAAATTTGTTAAATAGATGTTGATAAGGGTTAATCTTATACAAAAAGTATTTTCATATTTTTCTATGTATGTTATTTTAGAGACCAAATGTTCCACATCTACTAAATTGGATGTAATCGTATCACAAATTGTTCTATGTCTGTTAATTTAGAGACTAAAAGTTCTTCATCTGATACAATTTTGTAACACCCTGTTTCAAATCGTTTTATAATTTGGGGCTGTGATCCTAAGACCGATTATCATAAGACTTAGAGCCTTTTGGGAAAGAGACTTAGACCCCCCCCCCCCTCCTGAATGATGATCTGGGAGTTCGGTTTATATTTTGGAGTCCAATGGTATATCGTAAAAGTGACAGTTCGGACCTTTTACGAATTTTGGATTTTAGTTCGAAAGCTTTATGGCAAGAGGAGTTGTTAGAAGTGTAGAGCTTCTCATTACCTTTCTGTGGATATAAGGATCATCAAAATCAAATTTAGAACAAATAAGTTATGGCCTTCGGAAGTCTGTTGGGTTTAAGGCCAATCATAGTACGTTGGGTGTACATAGGGAGTACAAGGGGCATACTAGGCAAGAGGATTGTGGACACTTATTGGAGTATGTTGGGAGTACTGCAAGTACGCATGGCATACTCTAGCCTCATGCAAACCCTAATTTAGGGTCTTAGACCCTATTTAATGATCTTAACTTAACTTCAATCCCTTTTTTCTTCAACATCCATCCCATTAAACCCTAGATTCGAAACCCTAGCTTCCATTTGAGTATTTTGAGGTTTTTGGAGTGATTTTGGTGTGCCTTGGAGAAGAAGGAGTTATTGTTGGAAGCATTGCTTGCCTTGGAGCTTGTGGATCCAAGCTCTATTCATCTTCATCAACTTTCAGGAGGTATAAAGTTTCCAACTTGATGACTCTATGTGTTAGATCTAGTCTAGGGTATGTTTTGGGTTTATTTTGGTCCTTAGAGTCATCATTTTGAGTATGAGCTACTCCAAGAGCTTAAAATGATGGATCTTAGCACTTCTGAGGTTGTGGGTGCATAAAAATGTCATATTGATGGTTTTGGGTGAGACATGATTAAGTTGGTGTTCATATTATGGGTTTAGAATGATAAAAACGGGTTTTGGGTCCCATTAAGGCATGCAAGGGAGTAAAGTTAACAACTTTATGGTTTAAGACCTTGTCTAGGGATCAGATCTGTGTTTGGACGACTTGACTTAACCCAATAAGAGCTTAATATGGATTTTTGGCCTCTAATGAGTACGTTCCGCATACTTAGGAGTACGCTCAGCATAAAGCTTATATTATGCATTGACTGCTTATATTTAGTGCTTCGGGGGTGAGTACGTGGGGCGTACGTTTCTGGTATGCATGGCGTACTCCCCATGATGTCTATTTTGAGCCTTGTTAGGCTATTGGATTTTTTACTTTGGGCCATGGATAAACTATGGGATTTCTTGGAATTAGGTCAATGATGGTTTTTGGGCCCAATTAGGAAGATGAGTCATATTAGGCCTTGGGATGCCATTTAGGAAATTGGGCTTTTTGAGGAAATGGGTTGGGCCTTGGTTTTGGGCCAAGTAAGAAAAAGGTAAAATGGTTTTTTATACTGGATATTAGACAAGAAAATTAGATTCTTGATTATGGGTTGAGATCCAATTATTAATTGGATATTATTTGATGGTGCTAGTGAGCGGAGATTTTCCGGATCAGTAGACCGATATTTTATTTGAGAGATTTAACAGCTTAAGGTGAGTTTCCTCACTGTGTTTAGTCGTTTGAAGGCATCAATATCGGCCCATGGTTTATTATGACTAGGATGCAAGTTATCTGTGTGACTCTGCATGTATGTTTTATGATATGTTTACTGGGCTTGGTCTGCTGATTATATTGTATACTATTTATCTTTGTGATTTTTATGCATATGTTTATATGTTTGTATGTACATCGGGCGGGGCCCGATGCCAGACGAGGCCTGATGACTGACAGATCTATTCCGGGTGGGGCTCGATGCCGGATGAGGCCCATTATATGTTTGATATGTATGATATGTGGTATTTTGGGGACCCACTAAGTTTTGTGCTTACAGTTTTCAGTTTATGTTTCATGTAATTCTGGTTCGAAATGGAAGAGCTCGGGATGACTACATTGCACACATCACATTGTTCCGCATATTATATGACTCCGATGTACTTGGATGTTTATTGATATCCTCTGATTCACTATGGTTTCTATGATATTGTTTTGGATTATGGTTTTATTAATTTAAAAATCAAAATTTTTAATCTTAATTTTTGGGACGTTACAAATTCAGCCAAGTTAGTATACACAAGACATTTTGTATCTATATTAACAAACAGGTAACCATTTGTTATACAAGTTCATCTAAGTTATGTAAAACCTTTAGATAATGCTTGGTACATGAATAAAAGTGGATAATGACTGAACTGATTATATGTATTAACAAACACATAAACGTTTGTTTTCAAATTAGCATTTGTAAACACATCAACACTACTTCATCCTTGTTTTGAAAACTTAATTTACATATTTTATAGGAATGACTTATATAAAATCTAATTTATTACGATACAAATAAATATAACTTACAAGATCAAAAAACTTAATATGTTCGAAGCGATGTCAAGGAATAGAAAATTTCTAATCATATAAATAAATCTAGGTTCTGAGGCTGAATATTTAATCAATAAATATCAGTATTTTTACATTAAAATTTAGAATTTATACTGAATTACAAACAAAACTATATCAATCTTAATTATATATAATTTATATAAAATATTAAATACTAGAGATAATAATAAATTATAAAAACATATAAATATAAATAGATAACAAATTCAAATTCAATTAATATGAAATAAAAGTTCTACGTTAATAACTAAGAAAAGAATTAAGGAGCTTGCAGCCCAAGAGTATCAGATATTGTCTTTCCTCACCGAGGTCGAAAGTTTTAGTCCCGTCATGAATATATATGAAATTAATGAGTAGTTTACAAGTTTGCGGTTAGAAAAAAAAACTTAAGAACAAAGTAACTCTAAACTTTTAACTCATTTATATTTTCTTTTATATAAAATACAATTTCATTATATATTTTATCTTATTAAAAAAGTATATAATGTTTTTGATAATTTGCACCCTTCTACTTTGTAAAATAATATTTTAAACATTTTATTTTTTAAAATGACATTTTAACTCATTTAACTCTGAACTTGTAAAATATAACTTTGATCCCTCAATTTTCGTGTTTATCCTACGTAATATATATATATATATATATATATATATATATATATATATATATATATATATATATATATATATATATATATATATATATATTATAATTTTCTTTAATGACATTCATTTGTTAACTTAAAAAAAACTATTTTTTACATGTTTATTTTATGTATGTATCGGTATAAATTCGAAGTAGTAATGTTTTGTGTAAATTTGGAAATTTTGTTCATTAATTAAAAAAAAAACAATTACTTGTCATAACAAATTCGAGTCTGCCGATGTAATTTTTTTTTAACGTTTTTATGCTTATTTTTAGTTACTTCTAGAAACAAAAACTATCATTCAACATATGACAACTTACTTTGTACTATTTAAATTCATAATTGACACAATTGACACCACAACGTGCAACGGGAAATTGTAATTTCATATTATTTTATTAACTGTGAAATACAGTTAATGAATCAATAAAAAACAATTCAAATCGGTGAGAAGATAACTAGGATTTTGGTTTTATAGACGTCATACATGTATTTCTTATTATTTTTAACAACTTTGGTTAAAACAAAAAGTAAATGTATACGCCATACGGGTATAAAATAAAAATAATTTAAATGTAAGATGGATTTGAAGCTTCAACAAAACTAGCAACAGTAAATGAAAACTAATAATATTTATATATTATATCCAATACTCCAATAACTAAGTGGAGCGTTGATTATGATGTACAAAGAGTCAAAAGGTGTTGTGAACTTGTGATGTAGTGCCAAAGAAATTTACCCTTTTTTGCTTTTTCTATATCTAGAACTCGTGACGTTATTTATATATTTTATATCTAGAACTCATCGTCATCCTATAGAAATCGTCGCATCAACCTCAACATTTTCCTTCTTTATATATACAATTCATCATCATCAGGAATCATCATCATACAGTAGAAACCTACACTATTTCCGTAGGGAAGATATACAGGAGGAGTAACCTAAATATTAACAATCATCTCTCTCTCTCTCTCTCTCTCTCTCTCTCTCTCTCTCTCGTTCCTTTGGTAGTATGATTGTGCAATTTTATCTGTAAACTTATTTTCTGAAGAGGGAGAATGCGGGGATTTGGGGGAAGATTCTACTGGGGGAAGCGAAGAGGAAGAGAAGAAGAAAGAAGAAGAGGAATAGTGGTTGTATTCGCATGGATGTCAAGTGAAGAGAAGAATTTGAAGAAACATGTTCATCTTTACTCCTCTCATGGTTGGGATTCCCTTGTATGCCATTCCCAATTTCTTAATATGTATGTGTTCTCCATTCTCCAACCCTCATTCACTAGTTTCTTTTATAAACTCTATTCTTCATATCATATCATATCATCTGCTGTTATTACCGATTTGGAGTTTTAGTTTAGTGGAAAGAATAATCTCCGGTCGTATCATAATTTTATCATTGGAGATGCTTTTAATCACTACTCCAATTGTTACATAATTTACACTTTGACTTTTGACATCAATCGAATTGATTTCCATTTGTTGACTTGAATTGGAAGACTTTTCGGGAGAAAATATGATTAAAAATTGAAATCTATTCAAATCTTACAAGTCGCAAATTTTTTTATATCAAGTCATGGAGCTATTTTTTATTGAAAGGAATTGCTTCCATCTAAAGGTTTGACTTTTCGTTTTCGAGTGATTCTAAAAGATGTTGCAAACTTGCAATTGATTGTATCACAGGTTCTTCCCTGATAAGGTTATTCCTTTGGCATTGGACCTTCTAAATGAGCTTATTAAGGTAAGTTTCATAACTTCTGACCATTGTTGTGCCTATGTTCTATGGCTAATTATATCCTCCTTGAGTTTGTAGACAATATCACAAAATTCGGAAATATTCACTGTTTGCATTTCCTTTTCTTGATTAGTTATGATTTCTTTTTGTATGATAAAATATATTTATACAAAATTTTGTATATGAAGGAGCTAAAAGAAATTCCATGCCCGGTTGTCTTTGCGTCTTTCTCTGGTGGCCCCCTAACTTGTATGTACAAAGTTTTGCAGGTAAATATTCCGTGTATTTGTGTATATCATTTTTTTTTACAAAGAATTAGTTATGATGGGCAAGGTGCATTTTTATATTTAATCAATTTAATAGGGAAACGACTTAATCTGGTTTGACCGGTATAACCGGGAACCGGTTCCGGATCCGGTTCTTAAAGACCAAAAAACCGGTATTCGCGTGAACCGGTGAAAACCGGTAAAACCAGAAATTTTAACCAGCTTAGCAATATTTTATTCAAATTTATCATGGCAAAATCTTTTTGCGTATTCCATGAACACATTAGTCCTACAGTCTATTTCTAATTTGTCCATCTCAAATCTTTTTTTGTTTTTTTGTTTTTTGTTTTTTTTTTTTTTTTTTTTGTGGTGGTTTATGAGGGCATAAAATATAGATGTTTTTGGTACATGATATATATCAGGTCTCAACCAAATAGTCAAAATTAAGATCCACCCAATTCATCTTCTTTACCAACCCTAACTGTGATTTCTAGCCACATAATTGAAATCGAATTCTATTGAATCGAATTTTACAACTCCATCATCATCAAAACTGTCTTCGACTTGTTGACGTGAGAAGAACAGTAACGTTGGATTCCGAGATGAAATAGAGCTTCATCAATTGCTGGTTTTCGTATGATCTTATAACTTTCGATTCACTCTTTTCCGTAACCACAACTAATCATCGTATCAGCTATCAACCTGAGAGTTGAAATTGCAATCATTGACAGTGGTTCAACATCAAAAACCGAGATCTATAGTTTTCGTTCATCTTCCAATTCGGTGTTGGACGATAGCAATCGAAAAGGCCAACTAGAAACAGATCTAGGCTCCAAGTACTCACGATTATCTAATAAGATTAGATGAAACTGTTTCTTGAGACATTTCATTACGATTTGCATCGGTCTCTTAGCAATAACAAGCATCTATGATCTCGGATCATTTGAAAAATGAGGAAACGTATAGCATGGTGTAGTCCAGTGACTCATGTTAACTTTTAAGTAATTGTTTCAAATAAAAACATAAGACAAAGCTGACTTGACTTATAAAACCTGGACCAAGGTATTCGAAATAGTTTGTATAACATTTGTCTTTATGGTATTTAACCCTTTCACAAAGGAAGGCTTCTTGGTGATGATTTACTTGACATCTTCTTGCTACAGATACTCGACTCAAAGTGTGATACTCAAGGAAATCTGGTATGGTCTTTATTCTTATTATTTCCTTTGTATCACGTTTTTAATATGATTGATCAAAGCCATGAGTTTTTGAAAGACAACATACAAAAAACACAATATTTTATTTTCATCATCTTCCTAGTTACTCAGTTTTGAAAAAGGCCCTTGTCGCGGTAAATCCGGGAAAATGTGTTTTTTTAACTTATAAAAAAGTATAATGAGCTAACTAATACAATCTGATAAAATGATGACAGGATAAGTGTTTTTTTTTATTAAATTTGTCATCGGTTGTTAATATGAAAAAATGTTTGATTTTTTTATGGTGAAGGAGTATCAACTCATTAGAAAGTGTATCTCCGGACATATATATGACTCATGTCCTATCGATTTCGTAAAAGATTTGGCCACCCGATTTGTTCTTCACCCAAGCGTTCTTAAAGTCTCACATCCTCCTATAATATTAACATGGATTGCAAATGGTATCTTATCGGGCCTAGATGCTTTATGCCCTGAGAGATGGGAATCCCAACGCACAGAATATTGGCAGACTTTGTATTCAACTATAGTAAGTTCCTATTTCTTACCAATCAACCCCTTTTTCCATTTCTTATTTTTCAAAATAAATTGTAGGAAATTGGAGCACCATATCTAATACTTTGCTCAGAAAACGACGATATTGCCCCTTACCAAACCATCTCCGACTTTGCTCAACGATTACAAAGCCTTGGTGGCAATGTCAAATTCCTAAAGTGGAGTAGCTCCGCTCATGTAGGTAATACTTGTAGTTTTCTCAACATAATTATTTGTTTGGTTGTATTTGCACGGGTTTTTACTTTTTATCAAGTTATTACGATCCACTGAGATTCAACCCTACGCCACTCAGAAATGTATCATGCTCTTGCAGGTCACTATCGATATCATCCGGAAGAGTACAAAGATGCTGTGACCGAGCTCCTAACAAAAGCTGTATCTATTTACTCACAAAAAACTGAACATGGTAGTGGGCCATCCAATTGTTCGACCTCCTCAGAAATGCTACACCATTTAGGGGAACCAATATCTTTAGGCATGAGACATTCACACTCCAATCCTATACAATGCGTCCAGAGATCGAGACTGTGATGGATTTCAAATCTGGGGTTTTAACGTGAAATCTACATCTACATAAGAGTGTATGTTATAGAGTTTTGTAGATTGTTTACTTTGGTTCTTATTATTTTGACATTCTTGCCTTTTTTTTTTTTTTTTTTTTTTGTTACGAGTAAGGTGTGATTTGTCATCCATGTCATGTATTTTTTTTTTTTAAATTAAAAAATGTTACATTTATTTTACTTATAATAGAAAAACATGAATATTAATTAAAATAAAACTTAAGTTTTCATTAACCATAAGATTGAAAATCACATAAATAAAAACTAAACATAGAAAATAACGTTAAATTTAAACTACACAAATGAAAACTAGAAAAAGTTATAAATTTGTAGTAACAATGTCAATTCCATGAGTCGGCAGGTTCCGATCACATGCTTCTCTAAAGTCGTATTTAATTGTGCAATTTGCAACACCATTTTATCGAATCGGTTTGATCGCTGGGTACCCACAGACGAATTTGAACATTTCGTTTGGCTTTGTCCCTTCTCATGGGATGAGGAGGCAGTTGTATTTCTTCAATGTCGTAATTTTCATTATTAAGATTGACACCGATGTAAGGAGCTGATGATATTTTTTGTGAGGTCGAATGCAAAGACGTTTTGCTTCTTTTTGAAGGCTTGGACATTTTGTCCTTTGCTATAACGGACCTCCACTTGATACTTTTTTTAGAGCATCACAAACATGTAAGAATTTAAAAAGCCTTAACATGTCGTCTTGGAACGTCAGGTGAGTTTTTTTCAACAAAATGGATTCGCTTTCCTCGCTAGCCCATTGGAACGTCAGGTTAGGTTAACAAACTCATATTTTGTGTAGAAACTAGATTGATACATCATAGTAAATTCAAATAGCATATAAATATATTAAGGCAAAACCATAAACCATTTTAGTACCACATTTTGTGTATACACTAGGGGTGTGCTTGTGTCATGCGTCACTGCTTATTATAATTTGGAGAAATACAAAAAAGCAACACATTTTCTACCGTTAAGCACTGGAACCACCCGGTCTCATTTGGAATCAAAACTTGTCCAAAATTCAACATTCCAAAATTGTCGGTGATGAAAACTGCATATTGATATATTTAAAAAATAATAATAATAATCAAATAAATAAATAAAACTGATTCAAAATTGTTGGTCCAAAATTAGTGCCTATGTATGTGGGGCGATTTTGATATCTAAAGTTTAGAAACGATCATTCCGGTTACAAACAATTCCGTAGTTGGGCTCATAATATAAAAATCCGGTTTGATTGGATTAAGGTTATTCTATGGGACCGGGTTTGAGGAATCAAAATGGCAAAACCCCGGGCATCATCGCCTCAAGTGGAAAAATGGCGGGAAACGAAGTATAACTAGGGCACAGCTTCTCTGCGGCTTGATCATTTTTTCTCATAGGAGAAACTGGTTTTTTCGTCAAGATGGAGGAAATCGATATCGATATCGATGAGTTTGGATTTTCAAGAAACTATTTCTTAGCAAAACAGTCTGGAAAGTCGGGGAAGAAATCAGCCCGTAAGCTCTCCGAAATTGATTTTGTTGATGAACATGTTATTTAATCTCCTTAAATCACTTCATCTTCTTAGGTGTGATAATGCACTTATTCCTTCGCACAAAAACCACATTATGCTTTTTGGTGTCAGACCTAAAAGTAGTTAGTGAAAAACCTATATGGATTTTGTATCGAATTTAACGAGGTCATGAATTTATGCATTTGGGAATGTTTATTTGATAAAGAAAAATCATCATCCAAAGTACAATGAATTTTCTTATCTGGATGGAGGCGTTTGATGTTTGATAACAAACCGTGTACTTCCTCAATTGCGAAATTGATATGGATTCTCGTGTTAAAAGTACTTGTTATAAAACTTAAGCTGTTTTCGTAATCGATACATATACATAGGATTGAATAAGTAATTTTACATCCAAAAATCGAATAACAACCCCTAAGATGGGGCACATAATAAGTACTATGTGATTGCAGGATCTTAGAGCTGAGGTCTCGAACATTTAACCAAAGCACGAGAAAGAGATTGCCTCATTGATAAATAGTTACAAAAGTCTGTACAATGACTGGGTTTTTGAGTTGAGGTATGCACATTCCCATAGAATCCGTATTCTAGTCACTAGTGTGCGTTCTCTTAACTTATGAAGGTTTAATGAATATTTATTATTTTTTTTCTTTTTTCAACTCTTACAGATATGGTTTTGGTCTTCTACTGTATGGTTTTGGATCCAAGAAGAGTTTGATTGAAGATTTTGCTTCAACAGCCTTAACTGATTACAGTGTGATTGTTGTCAATGGATATCTTCAGTCGATCAATCTTAAACAGGTATATAATATGTTGTTTATATTTACACAATTAAAAATGCAGCTCTCATACTTTTGTGTCTATGAGAAAGATGCAGCCACAAAAGTTGTCAAAATTGCCATTGCAATGGCTGAAGTACTATGGGATCAGTTGAAAATGCAACCAAAAGGATTGCATCATAAAGATCAACAACCATTTGAGGGTTGCAACCCCTGAGCTGACCCATACTGTCCTAACACAGAAAAGTGTGTCTGTATACGATTAATTTAGGTGTCATCATTTATTGGGGGTTGCATTTTGAGCGGAATTGTTGGGAGGTAGGAATTTGTGATATGAAAGATGATGTAATGGTTAGGTTTGATACACATGAATTGAGTTAAAGGTTTGTTTGTGGCATTTTCATATAAGTACTACAATCATGGAAAAAGAATAGGTCATCTTGTGGGCATGATAGGGGACCATGAGTTGGTTATCATTTCATTCAATGGTATGTCTACCTAATGATTTGTTTGCAGCGGATGAATTTGAGATCATGTTCAATGTGTTATGACAAACAAATGGAAAGACTAAGAATTGTCATGAGTGCTGGTTAGGTCAGATTAAGACTTTCCCTTCATCATTAATTTTGACCGAATTTAGACATTGAATACTTATATTAACTATCTACATGTGCACTTCCTGAAAAGGATGAACACCAGCTAACGATTCATTATGCTCAAAGTAATAATGTTATAATTATACAAATTATCTAGATGGCAACTTTGTTCCATTTATGACCTAATTTTTAGCTAGATACTTGTGTAATTTAAAACAACATTTTTTTTAATAGAAGATTTTGAAAAAGTAAAAAGTATAAGTTACAAAAACATCATCAATACAGTCATTGTTTTGTTGATGTGAGAAATGGTATGGAGTGGGATTAATGGGTGTATGAGTTTTTCTTTCTAAAAGAAAGAATATTTAGGTAGTGTTTGTTTTGGAAAAGATAAAATATCTTTGGTCTTTTTCCATCTCTTGATAAAAAATATTGTTTGTTTTTTAAAGTCCTCAAAAAGATTAGAATTTAACGAGTATGTGTATTAGCTGTTAAAAGAAAAAAACTAAAACTCTTGAAACCTACTCAAAATAGCTTTTCAATTACAAGATTTTTTTTATTTAAAAAAAAAGTTTTAAACTTGTAATCTTGAACAGTTTTTTCTACTTCATGTTAAAAAAAAACTAAAAACTTATAAAAGATTTCAAAAATTCGCTTTAAACATACCAATTTTTTTTTCTCTCGTCTCTTTCCCTCTTTCACACACACAATATTTATACATTTAATCCGTTAATTCTCAATTTCTTGCAATGTTATCCGTTAATCGTTTTTGGTACTTCAGAAAATGACACAATTTGCCCTTTTAAGTTGTACATATATATAAAAGTTTTAAAAATCATCTGGTTTATTAAGATTTTAAAATATGTTGTCGGCTTGTTGTTCGTATGAAGACCATGTCAAACTGGTTCCTTTGGCTGGCTACTTATGAATCAAATATTAAATTTACACAGGCACTAATAGGTAATCACGATCATCCAATGGTAAATGCTCTCTTACATTTACTTTTTTGTTGGATAGTAATTAGTGTTATCAATAGAGGGAGGCCATTAAGTTCTAGTTGTAATTGATGGGTGATTAGTGTTATTATTAGGATGTAGATATGCATTCATGGATAGTAGTTAGGTATTAATTCTTTCACGTTTTAATTTAAAAATGAGTTTTGATTTAAATGACCATTGAAGTCTTGATTTGACTCGATTCAATCACTGAAGTTCTGATCACGCTAAGTTACACACTGAACTCTCGATTTTTATTCGATTTACCCCATGTTACATCAGGTTTTCCAGTTTTTATGCTTATGTTGAGGCATTTTAATTTTCTTACAATATTATATGTCGTGGGTTCCACTTGTTCAAACTTTGATAAAAATGGCACCAACTTCCAATGAACTGAAGCTCCGTATGTACAACAACGATCTTTCTCATCTTGGAATATCAGAGAAATAAAGTTGTAATTTTATTCTATCGGGAAAATGACTCTTGAGGGTAATTAACTTTTGCGTTTGTACTCATTTGGTCACTTTTTTTTTTGTATTCAATATACCATCGAACTTGTTGTTGGTGTTTACCATAGCCCTTTTGACCGACTTTTGACCTGTGATAGCCGGTCAAAGGGTTATGGTGAACACAAACAACAAGTTCGATGGTATATTGAGTACAAAAAAAAGGAAAGAGACCAAATGAGAACAAACGCAAGAGTTGGTTACCCTCCTGATTCATTTTTCCTTTACTCATTTACAACAAATCCCACATCATCTCCTACTGATATTAATGACTTTATGATATTCATTCTTGCTTCTCTTCAAAACATAACTCACGAAAGGACATTATTCATGCATGTACAACTTTGTAATGCACTTGAATATTTATTAGGGGAATCTTGACTAAGTAGGCGCATTTCATGACTACATTTACATTTGCAATCAAATGATTTATCGTATCATGGATTCTAGATAAGTCTACAAACGAGTGGAATCACAAGTGTGTGATTTTTGAGTTTACTTAGCTTTAAGATCGAACTCATGGGATAAGATACAACATCAATATGTACAATATCATGCTGCTTTTGTAGACACATCACCATAATATTGTACATATTGATGTTGTATCTTATGTTGGGTTTTGAGCAATCTAACACTTCCTAAGTGTGCATGCAATCCTAATAAACCTTGGATCTATGTTTGTCTAAATACATGAAAAATAATAATTTTCCAAGGTTCATAACCTATCTAACATGGCATGGGGTACTTTTAAACATAAAAGAATTAGATGAGATTACGTACCTTTTTGATGAGTTTGATTCTTAAGGAGTTTGAGGGCCAAGCACCAATAGTGTGAATGCCTCAAATGGAATCACAAATCACCACAAACACTTGGAAAACTTTGAGAGAGTGTATACACACTATAATTTCAGCCACACACAAACACACACACTAGTGGCTATTTCATGCAACATAAGCATGCTTATATAGTGTGCATGGTTAGGGTGAAACCCTAATAACCCATGACCTTTCCTTTTCCAAGGATCCATGGGTTAAAAGCTCCATGGATCATCCATGGACTTCCATACAAGCCTAGCCCATTAACAAATGAGTGTTAGCCCACACCATATAAAACCAATAGCCCACAATCTAATTAGTCTTCTTTTTAATCTCTAAATTAATTCATAATTAATTTAAGACTAAGACTAATTAAATAACATGACTTCATATTAATATATTATAACTTATAATATATTAATAATCATATGTGTATAACTCTCATAAAATTATCCATAAATAGTTCGGGTGAAGTGCAACCCAAATGGACCATGCCGAGTCGGATCAAGTATATACCAAATAAGTTATGAACTTAGACACCTTATCCAACATCTTATCCCATGAGTTCGATCTTAAAGCTAAGTAAACTCAAAAATCATAGCACTTGTGGTTCCACTTGTTTGTAGACTTGTCTAGAATCCATGATACGATAAATCATTTGATTGAAAATGTAAATGTAGTCATGAAATGCGTCTGCTTAGTCAAGATTCCCCTAATAAATATTTAAGTGCATTACAAAGTTGTACATGTATGAATAATGTCCTTTCGTAGGTTATGTTTTGAAGAGAAGCAAAAATGAATCTCATAAAGTCATTAATATCAGTAGGATATGATGTGAGATTTGTTGTAAATGAGTAAAGGGAAAATGAATCAGGAGGGTAACCAACTGTTGCGTTTGTTCTCATTTGGTCCCTTTCCTTTTTTTTGTACTCAATATACCATCGAACTTGTTGTTTGTGTTCACCATAACCCTTTGACCGGCTATCACAGGTCAAAAGCCGGTCAAAAGGGCTATGGTAAACACCAACAACAAGTTCAATGATATATTGAATACAAAAAAAAAAAAAGGGACCAAATGAGTACAAACGCAAAAGTTAATTACCCTCAAGAGTCATTTTCCCTATTCTATCCTATACCAGTAGTAAACGTGTGATTTGATGACTTTCAAATTCATACCGGTTCATCTCAATCACAATTCATTTAACAATTTTATTTTTTTTGCAATAATCTTCTAAACATCTCATCAGAACCTATCATATAAATACAGTTAAACAAAAATCATATTTTATCTAAACAAATCATATTAAACAATTATTTATATGAAAATATATATCACAATAAGTTCTTTTGAGAAATCAAAGTTGTGTGAAACTTCTTTATTTATATGTACAACCTCCAAATCAAACTCTGCATCTGGTTAACATGACTCGTGTTCTTCTTACAAGACAAATTCTCACACACCTCACGTACTATGGATACAAGTACCAACTAGATATTTTTTTTTTTTTTTTTTGTTTTGTTTCTCGTACGATTGATTCGAAACTTTCACCTAAGCTTCCTTTCGCCTTTCAAAGTGCGGTTCAACCTTCTAATCACCATATAAACGTGAAAATAAGGTTGTTCACCCGAGTATCATGTATTTTCTCAAAATGCATATAAATGAAATGAATTACACTAATTATGATGCAAATATCGGATAAAAGGTGTGTAAAGAGATGCATTAAATGCACCTAACAAAATTTTTAATTTTGGCTATTATTATGCATATTTGTCTTGGTTTTGGCCGTTGCGATGCAGATTGTTTGGTATCACTGCTTAGATGCAGATTGTTTGTCGCCGCTTGTGATACATATTGTTTAATATTGCTGTTGATATGCAAATTGTTTGTTGTTGCTTGATGCGCCTCAGATTTTATATTTTAGCTCTGCTGATACTTAATGTAATGAATGTGTGCGACCGCCGAACCTGAGTAGCAACACACATAAGTAAGTCGTTCACCGCGAGGGGGGGGGGGGGGGGGAGGGAAGGTCTAGTAGAACGCTCCGATGATAAAGTTAAAATGTAGCGTACGAAGTTCGTAATCGACTAATCGTAATAGAATAATGGTTTCGTGTTTGTGTACCTTTGCTGATCTGTCGAGGCCACCTTTATATCAGCCTTCCTCAGGAAATGGTGATTTGGTTTGTATAGCACAAAGAATGGTCTAATAACCATTAATGTTCGTGTTACCAAATGTACAAAATCGGTACTAAGGAGAGGTCATTAATCTTATCAATTAGTTGTTTATGAGCTGACATGAGGCTTAAGTAGAATACGACCTGATAGGATCGTTGTCTATGCTACTCGTTGCTAGGGCTTAACGTTCACACTGACCTTGTTTGTTTAGGTGGAACTTCGTTCCTCGACATGACGAGCCAAATGTCGGTTCGACTTTTATGGTTCGGAGGGTGATACCTGGTATACACCTGCTTGAATGCAAATTGTTTGTGGATACTTGAATGCATATTGTTTTGGTTCTTGCGGATATGTGTGTACGAAGGCATACTGTGATTCTCGTTTTAGTTTCTTGTAAAGTAAACTCTCAATGATTAAAAATTAACCATCAAATTCAACACGGAAGTAGGACATTTCATTGACGTGGACGTCCTAATACTAAGCATGTCATGGAAACTCAACGAACTGAAATACTTTTTGACTCCACATGAAGCCTCCTTAATCAATGATTTCCTCAATTTTAAAGGAGGTGCGTTCGGGAAACTATCGACATCATCGACGGTTCGACTTGCAATCTTTGACCGGAGCGCCTAGCCTTTGTCGCCTGTCGCCGCAAACGCATCGTTGGTATTGTTGGATTATTGGATGTTTGTGTATATGGGTGTTTATTAAGGCACACTAGCCTCCTCGTTTTCATTTCTTGTAAGGCAACTCCCAATGTTTTTTTTTTTTTTTTTCTATCGCATTGTTAGTTTGAGATGAGATGTTAGTATAATAATAAGTTTCTAGCCCAACTGTATCAGGTGGTGCTCTTCCTATTTGAGACCGCATGTTCAAGTTTTGTCGTGGACATATGTGAAGTTAGGTGTTAGTTTATGAATAAATTAGATTTGTCCATTTAAAAAAAGTTTATCGGATATTTCGTTTAATCTTTTAGTAAATTAGGTGTTAGTTTTTTAGTATATTATATTTCTCTCTTTAAAAAAATTATTAGATATTTGTTTAACCTTTTAGCTAGACCCTACATAGTTTTCCTATTTATAGTCTTATTTATTTTTATTTGTAATTATATTTTTCTTTTCAATAATAAAACATTTTTTTAGATTGCTCTTGCAAATGTGTAGCGGGGAATCTACATGATAAAAAAAAACCTAGTTGTTATATCGTGAATTCATCCTCCTTAATAAATGAAAATACTTTTGTCACTTGTCACTCTCTCATTAATTTGGATACATGTTATTTTTTGGTAATTTTGATTAAATATTTTTTCCATTTGTCATTTTCTCATTTTTTTTAAATATTTTATTAACTAACAATCATATTTACACCTTAATTAATAACTGTCTTAATTGAAAATAACCGATAAATTACAATAATAGTATTCATATAATATTTAATATGTTTCTTTTTAAATTCAAATTTTAAATTTTAAATTTTAAATCTAAAATTTCAAATTTAAATAAAATTTTGCTCAAGCTTTTTATATTTATTTTTTTTGCTTTATCAAACCCGTATAACATACGGGTTTCACCCCTAGTGATAGAATATTATAATGGTTTAAAATTTTAAAATGATTTATGGTTTTTTTTTTGTTATAACATGAAAAAATATAGTAATTATGTGGATCGATTTATATTTATAGTAGTTAACCGGAAAAATAAGTTTTGAGAATTTATGTTATTTATCCTAAAATATTAACCAATCCACCTTTGCGTCGATCTTTTTCTTTTGTTTGTAGAACTCATCATCATCATCCAAAGAAGATAGAACCTAGAATATAAATACTAATAATCATCTCTCATAACTCCAAGCCCCCTTCTCTCTCTCTCTCTCTCTCTCTCTCTCTCTCTCTGCGGCAGAGTTGTACCTTTAAGTAATCTGCTGCTCTTCTTGCTAGTATAATTGTTCAATTTTATCTCTAAATTGTTTTCTGAAGGGGGATCGAGAGGAAAAACGGGGGAGAATGTGGGGATTTGGGGGCAGATTCTACTGGGGGGAGAGAAAAGAAGAAGAAAGAAGAAGAGGACCAAACAAAGGAATAGTGGTTGTATTCGCTTGGATGTCAAGTCAAGATAAGCATTTGAAGAACTATGTTGACCTTTACTCCTCTCTCGGTTGGGATTCCCTTGTCTGCCATTCGCAATTTCTCAATCTGTATGTGTTCTCCAATCCTAATTAGTATCTTCTATAAACCCTAATCTTCATCTGATGTTATTCCCAATTCGCGGTTTTAGTTTGGTACTCCGATTGTTACATAATTATTATACACTTCGACTTTTAACTTCAATGGATTTGTTATCTATTTCGAAGCGACGTGAATTGAAATACTTCTCCTGAAAAAAATGATGAACAAGTTGAAATCTAATACGAGTATCAAATCTTATCAATTTCTTACATGGAGTGTGGCTATTTTTTACTTGAAAGAAAAGGAATTGCTTCCAATTGGCTTCATTTTGGGGCATCTAAAGCTTTGACTTTCGGTTTTTGAGAGATTCTTTTGGGTTATTCGGCATGATGAATCTGATTTGTTCTTGAGGTTTAGGAGATAACATACAGCTGGGAACTTAATACTCTTTTTTGTCCCATCTATATATCACTATTTGGATATCAAAATACCCTCCCATCATCTGAGAGTTTTAAAGTATTCTAAATAAAAATTTTGAAAGCAAATTTTAAGTATCAAAATCAGTCCAACAAATACTTTGTAAAATTGAGACAATTAGGTCATTTTAGCTTTAAAAGTTGCTGAAAAATGTTGCAAATGATTCACAGGTTCTTCCCTGATAAGGCTGCAACATTGGCACTGGATCTTCTAAATGAGCTTGTTAAGGTAAATTTTATAATTTCTTTTTCCCATTTTGTATGATGATATGTTTGTTATATTAAATATTTTTATAGGCTTGAACTTGATGCAAGTTTTTGTTGTTTTGTTTATGAAGGAGCTAAAGAAAAGGCCATGCCCAGTTGTCTTTGCATCTTTCTCTGGTGGCCCCAAAGCTTGCATGTATAAAGTTTTGCAGGTAAATATATTTCAGATTCATAACATCATATTACAAGAGGATCATTACAATAGTAAGTAAACATTGTCTCATGATTAACCAATAAAATTGTGGTAATCTTTTTGGTACACAGATAATCGACTCAAACTCAAAGTGTGAACCTCATAGAAATCTGGTATGCTCTTTATTCTTCCTTTTTTCTTTGTATCATTTTCTTTATATGATCCATCAAGCCATTAGTTTATATACAGGCAAAATCCAGGAAAAAAAAATCAATAGTTTGAAAACTTGTTTTGTGTTCATTGATAGGATGAATATCGTCTTGTGAGAGACTGTCTCTCTGGACACATATTTGATTCTTGTCCAGTCGATTTCACAAGTGATTTGGGCACCCGATTTGTTCTTCACCCAAGCATTCTCAAACTCTCTCATCCTCCCATAATAGCAACATGGATTGCAAATGGTATCTCATCTACTCTTGATGCTTTCTTTCTTAACAAATTTGAATCACAACGTGCAGAATATTGGCAGACTTTATACTCAACCATAGTAAGTTCTCATTTCTCACCTTTCTATCTTTTTCCACTCTACCCCCTTTTCCATTTCTTATTTTCAAATTAAAATATAGGGAAACGGAGCACCATATCTAATACTTTGCTCAGAAAACGACGATCTCGCCCCCTACCAAATCATCTCCAACTTTTCTCAACGATTACAAAGTCTCGGTGGCGATGTCAAATTCGTAAAATGGAGTAGCTCCCCTCATGTAGGTAATACAGGTTGGCTTATTGCCACGATCCACTGAGATTTAGCTCTGTGTCGCTCAAATTAAGTAATCTGATTGGCTTATTGCCACGATCCACTGAGATTCAGCGCTGTGTCGCTCAGATTAAGTAATCAGGTTGGCTTATTGCCACGATCCATTGAGATTTAGCACTGTGTCGCTCAGATTACTACTGGTTGGCTTATTGCCACGATCCACTGAGATTTAGTTTTGTGTCGCTTAGTTTTCTATAACTAAGATTTTGAAAAAAACCTTATCTGTGTTACTTATGTAGGTCACTATCGATACCATCCAGATGAGTACAAGGAGGGTGTGACCGAGCTCCTAACAAAAGCCGTACTCGTATACTCGCGAAGAACCGAACGGGTCGGTGGGGCCCACAACAGTACAACCTCGGAACCGTTGCACCATTTAAGGGAAGCGGTTTTGAGCTCGAACCAATACCAGAACCTCCATAGAGTGACACTTGATTTGAATGACCACTTTGTGGTGCCAGGTGGCTCAGTTGAGTACCATGAAGGTAGAGATGTGGGGTCCGTTCATGACGAACCGAAAGAACGGTTTATCCCACGGTCGGCCCCGCCTATGATTAATGCTCATGGGATTCTTGGTCAAATCTTGTTTGATGTTTGTGTTCCAAAGAATGTGGAGGATTGGGATTTAAAGTTGTCATCATCTTCATCTTCATCTTCATTTGCTACATTTGGTTCGGGTAGGAGACATTCACACTTTAATCCTATGAAATGCATCCGAAGATCGAGACTGTAGACGTGTTTGGTGGTTTGAATAATAAGGTTTTTAACATGAAATGTATATAATAGATATAAGTTGCATGTTGGGGAGTTTTGTAGACTGACTATTTACAATAAAGAAGCAAGTTTTGATGACTACTTGGTACTTGCGCATTGTTATTGTTGTGTGAGTGGTGTCACATGATGCCATCGTTTTATATTTTCTTCTTAAAAAAGTGTTTTGAGACGTGGTTGTTGAGATTAAGTTTCTGGAATGATTTATAAGTCATTTGAATAAATGATGGGGTTAAATTTCTTTCATTTGCATTCTTGTTAATGAATAGTAATTATCTTATAGCATGATGTGGATTTGTATTGATTCCTTGGTGAAAAGCCTTCTACTTGCGTTTATTAAAAGTTGATTCCAATTTGTCTTTAAAACTCCAACCCCATCCACTAACTACCGTCATTCCATTTCTGGATATTCATGTCAGGTTCGTTTGAATCTGGTCGTTTCTTGATGTTTGAATCCGGTCATTTGTGGATGTTTTTAGAAGATTCGTTTTGGGAATTTCTCCGCTAGTAATTGATTTAGATTACTGGGTTTGTGTTTTTTCTGGATTTGGTCGCAATGTGACTACCATTTTCTTTGTGTTTTTTTCCCTGTGGGAGTCGGGTGTTTTCCGGTGGACAAAGATATTAGTCGGAGATGGTGGGGAAAGGAAGATAATGATTTCACCGAAGGGCTTTTTTATAAGATATTTGAGTGTTATAAACCGTTTCAAGATATTGAAAATAATAAATATAGAGGGTGTTTGGATAAATTACCTTATAGCTTATTAGCTTGTAGTGGTGTGAGAAAATAATTTTTGCAAAAGTGTTTGGATTAGCTTATAACGATGGAGATAAACAATACGCTGATAAACATTTAAGTGTTTGACAAACAAAACAATTTATATGAGTAAATGACTAGAAATAGGTTATAAGCAATAAGCTTTGAACAAGAGGGAGAAGCTTTTCAAAATTAGCTTGTTTAGTTTATCTCACCACAATAAACTGATTTTAAATATTTTCTATCCAAACACTTAAACTTAGCTTATAGCTGTGAGAATCCTACCTAATAAATAAATAACTTTTTGCGACATGCCATCTTCTCCTTTATTTGGACACATGATATTTTCTTAGTATTTTTAAAATTTCTATTTTTCACTTGTTATTTTATTGTATTTTTCATTTTATTAAATTAAAATTTCACATTTAATATGTAAGGTAATATATATGTAAAGTATTTATTAGAAATAGTTTATATATGTTATGTATTCAATATATTAAAACCTCATTAATTTTAATAATTCAAAATTTTTCTTATAAATTCAAATTTTTCAAATTGTTAAGTTTTCATATTAATTTTTTTTTAAATAAACCCATGTAATACATGAATCTCACACCTAGTAAGCAATAAACTATAAACTATTTTTTTTTCCCTATTCAAACACCCTTATACTCTTTGAATTCAATTTGGTAGATAATTATGTAATCTAAAATCTAAAGTTAATCCCAAAGAGATTTATTTTCATGGTTGCTGTTTTTGCAAGTATAAAATATGTTTTAAGGCACAAATATGGTGTAAAATGCTATTATTTTAAAATAAATTGATCATATATTCATATGATTGAAAACCCAATTAATATAATATACGTACATATGTGTATATTTTTAGGAACTATTGCTAATTCAAACTAGATAAAATTTTACAAATGATCAGTTTCATTTTTTTTCTCTAAAATGGTCTTTATAAAATCTTTTTTTTTTTTGCATGAATGATCTATTTAGAATAAACATTGCAGAACGATGGTCCTTTTAGTTTTAAAATTATCCCACTACTAATCCTTTTGATTAACACTATTAAAATTTTCTAGTTAAATCTATATGAAATTGCAAATATGCACTTAATGAATTTTTTGTTTTTTAAAATGATATATAATTAAACATTACACGTCGGTGGCTCTCTCTCTCTCTCTCTCTCTCTCTCTCTCTCTCTCTCTCTCTCTCTCTCTCTCTCTCTCTCTCTCTCTCTCTCTCTCTGACACCAACGATATTCTTCGGCCACATCTCTAATTATAATCTCCGGCCATCAGAAAATACACCACCCTCTAAAAAAAATACTCAAAGAGAATTTAGTTAAAACATAATCACCGAATAAAAAAACACATCGAAATCAAATCCATGAAATCCCACAAATCGAAATCAATTACTTAGGGTTCTAACCTATAAATCATTGGAATTGCCAGAAAGAGTAAGAGAGGGGAGTAGAAGACATGATAGTGTGTCTCTATTTAATTTCAAATGAGGAAAAATAAAATGAAGCAGGTGCGGAGATTATCGTGAAGGTGATGATGGAGATGGGTGTGAATTGGGGGCGATGTAGGTAGTGATGGGTGTAGGTTGGTGGTTGAATCTATTTCTTAAAAGTTTCATTTTTTTTAGTTTGGAGCCAATGAACATGTGACACATACTGATATCTTTATTCATACATAATGTATATTTAACTTACAAAAATCATTCTTATGGTTTGGTTAATATTACGCATTTAGTCCTGAAGTTGATTAAGCATTCCATTCAACAAATGGATAAAAATAAAAATATGAAACCAAATCAAAATCAAAGGAAGTCAATAATATAAAACATTCCCTAACACCCTACTCCTGAGTGTCACTTAATGAAAGAAGATGTAACACCTTGTTCCGACTTGCTTCCCTATTTCAGGACTGTGGCCTGAGGATAGGTTATCATAATGCTTAGGGCCTTTAGAAAAGAGAGATCTAGACCTATTAAGGTACCGATGATGTAATTGAGGTGATTCGGGAGTTGGATTGTGTCTTGGAGCCAAAGGGTATATCGGTAAAGTGGCAGTTCGAGCTCTTTATGAATTTTGGGTTTTATTCGGAAGGCTTTAAGGCTTAGGCGTGTTGTTAGGAGCGTAGGGCTTCTCTCCACCTTTTCGTAAAAATAAGGTTCGTCGGGAACGGACCTTGGATGCAGAAAATATTTAACAGAAAAGTTTGGTGCTCCTAGTTTTTTTTGGAAGAGAAGAAAAGAAGAGAAATAATTTGCGTTGATTTGTATCCTTCCAAACTTTCCTCCCAAAATGGGAGGAATTGGAGAGAAAGAAATGCACAGGAAGATAAAAAGTTGTAGTTTGATGAAAATACCCTTAACCTAATAATAAAAGGATACGTTCCTGCCTTCTGTTCTCTGCCTTCTATTCTCTGTGTCATCTCCAAGGTACGAAAGTTCTTGTGTTCACTTTTTTTTGTTATTCCTGATTGATTCTTGTTGTTTTTTTGTCTTGATCACACACGATTAGTGAAAATATCGAGTTTAGATTTGAATGGCTACTGGACTTGTTGGTTGGTTTTTATTTATGAATTAATAAAATTTAAAGGCTTTTCTTTATCTATTAACTAGCACTGTTTGAATGGCTACATTGCATATTAGTTTATTGATTTCCCTTAAGGCTCACCGTTAAGCACCAAATGCTTAGTGTGAAATAGCTTTCATATCTTATGCATGGTGTTCCAAAGCCTCAATCAATGAACTTTCACAACAAAGTAAATTACTCTGCATTGTATTTCTTGTAATTGATTTCGTAACGAACTTTCACAACAAAGTAAATTACTATGTCTTGTATCATGGATCTTCCAAAAACCCAATATTTTGGTAGAATATTTAACTGTCTGTAATGATATAGAGTACATAAATAAGTGTTTTAAAAGGAATAAAAGGCAGAAAAAAGGGTCAATTTTCTCCTTGGTTGCTACGAAAAGTGACAGGTTTTTTCAAGACTACATAAATTTTCTTAATAATCAAATGCATGCTTAGTATTGAAAATTGACCTAATATTATTTTAACATGATTTATCTACTTGAATAGGTTGATAAGAGAACTGGTGATCAAGTGATACTTCCTTTATTAATAGATATGATATATAGGGGACTATAACAAACATTTGAAGCTTTTCGAGGTTTGGTTGTTTGGTATTTATAGCTTCCTAAAGAGATACCTTTCATCATGTATTCGGTGTAAAAGATAACGTAAAACACAATCAATAAGATCCACTACATTTTATTTCTTGTAACTGATTTTGTAAGATCATGTGTTGAAAACAATTGACAGTTACTAGATTGAGCATTATGTCTTTACTCATTCATGATGTCACAAGCCGTTTTTCTTTTTACAATTTACTTTATATCAAACAACTTGTTTTGCTAATGTTTTAAGGAGAAGGGAGGAGGGAGAGTTGGTTTGGGGGGGGGGGGGGGGGGGGGTTGAATGGATGTGGAGATGTGGGTTGTAAACACGTAATATTTACTCAATAACATGAAGGGTATGATTTTCTCACCCATCTGTGCCGCCTGCTAAACTAAAACCCTAGTCATTGTTCGTATTTTCCACTGTTACTGAGTTTCATATCGGCCAGACAACCATCTAGTGAATCAAATCCATCTATTGGAAACTTTGTTTTCTCTGAAAAAAGAGGTTGACAAAAAGTTGTGTATCCAGATTTTCGGTTCGCTTTTCCAGATTTCCACAACAAATACAAACTTTGATTTGGGGTTTACTTTTGCTAATTATGCGACATGCCCAATTTCACGGCCAGAAAAGACTGGTTTTGTTTATGCTTTGTTTTAAAATCAGAGTAATCGTTTAAAGAAAACTGTTGCGGAATGTGTTCCCAAAACAAAATGTGATAAGAATTTATCAAAGTATTTCTTTAAAGAAATGTATTTTTCATTAAATAACAAAATCTCGGGATGTCGTGTTCCGATACAAAATAAAAGCATAAATAGTATAAAATAGACCTTACAATAGTTATTTATAACTACTGATCTATAATCCAAAATCTCTCATCAAGTCCACCAACTTTTACTCTTGTGTCATTTCCTGTAATGCAAAGAAAACTGAGTGAGTCAGGCTTGTGAGCCTTGTGAGCTGTAACGCCCGTGTTTTTGGCCTAAAAGCATTAATAAAATTGTAATAGTCTAGGTCAACATTTGTAACTCATTTTGAAGTAATAAAGAGGAATTATGTGAATATTATGTGAATTATACGCTTATTTGCTTAATTATTATGATTTAATAAATTAATAATGAAAATAAGCATTTAAAATAAATATTAGAAAAATCTGATATCTTTTAAGAAAGTTGTAGTAGCTGAAACAAGGATTCCGAATACATAAAGAACGCTGAAATCCGAGTTATAACGAAGAAGTTATGACCTTTCGAAGTTTCGCAACAAAACCGGCACGGCACCGGGAAGCGTAAAAAGTGAATATTGCGATAAAGTGATTTTTAGCCTTAACAATCT